CGGCACCGGCGGCCGCCTCTCCGCACCGGCTGCCCGGCGAGCGGGCGCCGCTGGAGCTGGGCTACGCCAAGCCCTCGAGCCGCCACATCAAGGCGAGCTTCCAAGGGCGCCGCAGCTACTCGGAGGTGAGCAACGGCGCGCTCTTCCAGCAGGGCCGCGCGCTCTGGCTGCAGCCCGAGGCCTCCACGCTGCCCAAGCCGCGGCCCTACGGGGAGCTGTACGCGGGCGGCCCCCGCGAGCCCTTCGAGGAGCACGTGCGCTTCGAGAAGCAGTCGTCGGACGAGGACGAGTGGGCCGTGCCCAGCCCGCCCAGCCCCGAGGCCGGCGCCATCCGCTGCGCGTCCTTCTGCGCCGGCTTCCCCATCCCCGCCGCCGCCAGCGCCTACGCCCGCGCCGAGCACGCGCAGTCCTGGCCCTCCATCAACGTGAGCACCGCGCGCCCCGTGCCGCCGGGTCCCTGTCCTCGCGCTGCGCCGGGACGCGGGCGCTGCAGGGCTGGGGCGGGCACCGCGGGTTACATGGGACATGGGACACGTCAGCCGGCCCAGCTGCAGCCTGCATGGGACGCGCACCGCGGGTTGCGCAGCGGCATCGTCCGGGTCACCCCGTGTCCCCTCCGTGCAGCTGCTGCTGGAGACGGCGGACTCGGACATCCGGAGCTGCCCGCTGTGCCAGCTCGCCTTCCCCGTGGGCTACCCGGACGATGCCTTGATAAAGCACATCGACTCGCACCTGGAGAACAGCAAGATCTGAGCGCCCTGGACTGCACAGCCCCCTGCCCCTCCACGTTTCGGATGCTGCATGAACCCGCGCGGAGCGACGCGGCTCCCAAATACCTCTGAGGCCTCCGTAGCTACGGAAAGGCGGACGGAGCCGCCGGCCCCGGCTCGGCCTCCCCGTGTAAGTGGGACCCCCCCGGCCGCCACCTCCCCCCTGCCCTCGGGTTTCTCTGCTTGATCTCAGGGAGGATTTGAGGGACCGGACCCCGCGTCCGGGCCYCGGAAAGCAGGCGAAGGGCAGGTGCCCCCCCGCCTCATCCCACCTGTCCCACCATCTTTCCAGGGCTTTCACATTAAACCCGTAGCCCCCCCATCCCATTCCCACGCCCCATTCCCAAGGATGCTGCCGAGAGACCAAACCCACTGCCGGGCCGGCCGCGCCGCAGCCCCGGCCTCCGCTCGCCCCCGTCCCCCTCCAAGGCCGCCCCGGCCCTGGGGAGCTGCCGGCCCCCCCGCGCCCCCCCCGCACCCCCCACGTTAAATCTACCTCAGAGCCGCTGGGCCGGGAGCCGGGAGAGGCTCCAGGTGGGGGGCTGCCCTGCGCCCCCGGCCCCGCGGTGCCGCCCCCCAACGCGCGCCCGGCCCCGCTCCGCGCTGCATGTCCCCCCGCGCGCTCCCTGCCAGGGCTGCGGCGCTGCCGCCGGCGCAGCGGCCCCCACCGCTCCCTGCCCGGCGAGACCCCCCCCATCCAATAAAACCCGTCCCCAAGGCCTGGACCCCCCGGGGGCAGCGCCGCCTCTTCTGTGGGGTCCCCGGGTGGCGGGGGGCACTGGCTCTGGGCAAGCTCTCCAGTGGGAGATGGGGGCGGGGAGCAGGACACCTGGGCCCCCTCCACGGCGTGGGAGGGAGGGGACAAGTGTGCAGGGAGCAAGTGTGCAGGGAGCAAGTGTGCAGGGAGCAAGTGTGCAACAAACAAGGGTACAGTGAGCAAGTGTGCAGCGAGCAAGGGTACAGCGAGCAAGGGTACAGCGAGCAAGTGTGCAACAAGCAAGTGTGCAACAAGCAAGTGCAGTGAGCAAGTGTGCAGGGAGCAAGTGTGCAACGAGCAAGGGTACAGCGAGCAAGTGTGCAGTGAGTGAGCATGCAACAAGCAAATGGGCAACGAGCAAGTGCAACAAGCAAGCGTGCAGGAAGCACATGTGCAGCGAGCGAGCATGCAGGGAGCAAGCGTGCAGGGAGCAAGGCAGTGGACGAGCAGAGTGCCCGGGGGGAACTCAGAGAGCTGGGGGGATCCCTTGGGGCCTGAGGCTGCGGTGATGGGCACAGCCCAAGCTGGATGGGGGGAATAGGGTCCCCAGGGCAGGCAGAGCATCCCGGGTGGTGGTGGGTGATGGGCAGGAGCGGAGGGCACAGCCCATGTGGGACACACGGGCGGTGACGGGAATCACATCCCTCCGARACCCGCAACCTGCCCCGAGGAGAGGGGAGAAATTGGGGGGCTGTGGGGCGAGGAGGGGAGGTCTGGGCTCTCCTGGAGGAGGGAGGGTCCCGGCGCGGCACATAGATACCCCAAAGCCTGGCTTATCTCCCACAGCTACTGCCTCCGCCCCGCAGCGCGGCCGCCAGCACCCGTGCGCCGAGTTGTGCCCGTGCTCAGGGCGGCGCCCGCCGGCCCGCGGGGAGAGGCCTGCGCGGGGAGGGCGGCGGAGGCGGCCGTGCCGCGCTGCGCCGGCGTGTGTGCTGAGCTGGCAGGTTCTCAGCGCCGCCGAGATGGTGCGAAGCAGATAGAGGCTCCGGCGCGCGCGGCGGCTCCGCAGCGCCCGCCGGGATCGCGCCCTGCCCGGCGCTGCCCTTCCGCCGGGAAGGCTCCCGGCAGCGCGGGGCGGGCGGGTTTGYACCCGCAGGGAGGCCGCCCCGGGGCCCTGTGGCGCGTTCCCACGGGCGCTCCCTTGCTCGGGTCCCTGCGGGCCCCTGGGCGGCTCGAAGCCCTTCGAGGCCGGGGGTCGCCGGCGCTCGCGCAGGCGCCGCTGGTTTCTCCAAACCCGGGAGCAGCGCCGGGCACCCGCGGTTGCTCGTCCCGGGGCCGCGCTCCCCCGGGGCGGCCGAGTCAGGAGGTGCAGCAGCGGCTCCGCGGGCCCGGTGGCCTCCGGAGCCCCCGGGGCTCTCCCGCGGGTGCCTGCGAGGRTGCAGGGTGCTGCTGCACCAGGAGCCTCCCGTCCTGCAGTGCAGGCTCTGTCCCGGGCTGCACGGAGACTCCTCACCCCCGTTCCCAGCTCCACACGCTGCCATTGTCCAGGACCAGGGTGCTGTGGGAGCCGCCAGCGGGAGCCCCGTGCCTCAGTTTCCCCCCGACGCGGCGGCACACGGGGCGCTGCACAGCCCCATTTCCTCCAGCACCCCCAGCACCCCTTCCTCCTCCTCCTCCTCCTCCTCCTCCTCCTCGGCAGCTCGACGAAGAGCGCTGCAAACCGCAGGGCTGCCTTGCGGTTTGGGGCGCTCGCTCCGGCGCTGCAGGGCTCCCACCCGCGGCGCCCACGCGGCTCGGCCGGGAGCCGGCCGGGGCCGGGGGGGCCCGCGTCCCCTGGCCCTGCTGCCCGCCCTCCCGCTGCTTCGTGCCCCACAGAGCCCCCGCTCCTGCCGCAGGAAGGGGCCCAGGTGTCCGGGAGCGGCTCCCCACGCCACGGGCACCGCGTCTCGCCCGCAGCACGAGCGGGAGCTTCCCGCAGGCACCGGGACGGTCCCAAACCCGGGGGAGGACGTGGGGGGGTCCCACGCRCGGCCAGGCTGGGGGCTCGCGCTGCTCCCCGCGCCCCCGGCGCTGACAGGGGACGTTCCCACGGGGGCTGCATCCTGCGCGGCCACGGGGACCCCCTGCGCCCCCTCCCCGCTCTCGCTCTGATTCACAGCTCCGCGGTTCCTCCGCGGCAAGGTTTTAAATTCATTTGTTCCTGCCGAAGCCCCCCCCAAGCCTCTCCGCTTTGGGCCGCGTCGAAACGTTTCTTTTTCCAGTCGCCGTTTTTGCTTTCTCTCTCGCGCCGCGGGGAAAGGCAGCGACTCGCCCTGCTTCGGGTTTCTGTTTCTCCTGCCAGCGGCTCCGCGGCCTGGGGAGGGTCCAGCCCAAGGGCACCGGGGGTCTCGCRCTAAGCTTGCCCACCTCACAGCCCGCGGAGGGGATTCTCTGATGTCTAGAAAGGGTTGGGCTGCTTTCTGGGTGGTTTGTTTCCTTCGACGAAACCCGCAGGGCTGTGAGGCCACTTCCACTGAGCCTGGCCAGAGTAAGCTGTGGGATTTCCAAAGCAGATAAATGTGGGGGACGGATGGGCCGCGTGCGTGGCCCCAGCCCTCCCCATTCCCGAGGGAAAGGGGCTGCAAAGCCCCTCGGGGCCTCTCTGCTGCAGGGATGCCCCTGTGAGAGCGCAGGCTTCATGCAGCACCGCGCACGGGGGCTTCCCCCCACCCAGGGGCTCCCGGACGCCGGGGCCCGGCCTGGGGGAGCAGCGGCCACGCGTGCCCGTCACCTGCCGCAGYGGGGGGACCCCGTCCTTCGCAGAAATGGCCCCTTTATAGGAAACGGCACGGGGYGCTGCGAGGAAGCGCCCGGCGCCGCTGCCCGCGTGAACGTTTCTTTCCAGCCGTGGGCGCCGAAAGGCCCCTCTGTGCCACGGATCCGGAGTGAGTCAAAGCCGGAGCCCTGGGGTTTAACCACAAGCCCCAGAGCTGCTGTGTCACGGGGAGGCACCGGCACAGGCATTTATAAGAAATGGAGGGGCCGGGGGGGAAGGGAGCGCGGCCGGCGCCCCCGGCCCGCACGCGCCCGGCCCGGCGCTCGTGGAGAGCGGGGGGCTCTGCTGCGGTTTGTCCTGGTGCCACCGGCCGCCCGCGCCACTGCCGTTCCAGCACGGGGGCTTTGGTGGCCCTCCCGGTGCCGTCATGTTCGCCGGGCATTGGTGGCCTTGCCAGTGTGACCATAGTGGCCTTGCCAGCGGGACCATGGTGTTGGTGGTCTCGGCAGCCTTGCAACGAGCCCCTGCGCAGCAGGGAGCAGCGAGCCCCGTTCCCAGCTCCTCGGCATGCCCCACGCCGAAGCGAGGATGAGGAGGGATGCGGGAGGAAGGCGCACGTCGCCGGCTGCCATGTGCCCAGCGCCGCGCGCAGCTGCAGCGCCCAGACAAGCGCCGCGC